ACCTCCACCATTCTTTCCAACACACTACCTCCACCATTTCGTTCCAACACTACCTCCACCCACCTTACCCTCGTTCCTAACACTACCTCACCAACTCCAACACTACCTCCACCACCACAGCATCCAACCACCACGAAAGTTGAGCAGGAGACACGACCACAACAACACCGAAGAGGTGGATGGCCTAACCAGCGACGCATTGTTAGCACTTAACAGCAGAGGAGAAAAAAAACACTAAAAATAAAATACACTAAAATAATAAAAAAAATATGCATGTATTAAAAAAAAGCCTCTCTGAATTATCTGTTACACTTGTGGACGTGAAACCAACCGTTCTATCGGATGAGACGGCGAGCCAAAGGGGCTTCGCGAGGAGAGACGGAGAGGCAGAGAGGGTTCTCGGAAAGGGAGAGAAAGAGCGAGGAAGAGGGAAGGGAAGGAGGGATGAGGGAGAGGAGATGGAGGGAGAGGGAGGGGACGAGGGAGAGGAGAGGAGGACGAGGGAGAGGGAGGGAGGGAGGGGGGGGGAGAAAGGAAAGGGACGAAGGAGAATGAGGCAGGAGGAGGAGAAGGAGGAGGGAAGGGCGAGGGAGAGGAGCAAGGGGGCGAGGGGAGAGGAGCCAAAGGGAGAGGGGAGAGGGCCAAAGGGGGGGGAGGGGAGGGGAGAGGGGCGTCATCAGCCGAAGCGAGCCCCTCCCCTCCCTCTCCCTCCCCTCTCCCCCTCGCTCCTCCCCCATGATCTTATTATGACTAACGAACCATTGGAGGTCGATCCAGATGTTAGCCCTGTGTGATGACGCGCCCTCTACTTCGCTGCTGCCATCTACAAACTACTATTATCTACCATCTACCTTTACTACGGCCTTCTGCTTTGCCGGGAAGGCGCCGCGGTCACTCGGGCCGGCGCTGGAATATCGTGTGCTTTACAGTATTTTCTTTCTTTTTTTTTTCTTTATTTTCTTTTCGTTTTTGCTTTCCTTTTTTCTTCCTTTTCTTTTTTTTTTTCTTCTTTCTTTCTTTTTTCTTCGGTGAGTTTGAAACGGATGCGAGACGTACTTGTTCCTGTATAAATCTTGATAAGATTGTTTATGCGAAAAAATATATATGCCTTTGCGCGCATTCTCTCTCTCTCTCTCTCTCTCTCTCTCTCTCTCTCTCTCTCTCTCTCTCTCTCTCTCTCTCTCTCTCTCTCTCTCTCTCTCTCTCTCTCTCTCTCTCTCTCTCTCTCTCTCTCTCTCTCTCTCTCTCTCTCTCTCTCTCTCTCTCACTCTCTCTCTCACTCTCTCTCTCTCACTCTCTCTCTCATCTCTCTCACTCTCTCTCTCTCTCTCTCTCTCTCTCTCTCTCTCTCTCACTTTCTCCGTCTCTTTCTCTGTCTCTTTCTCTCTCTTTCTCTCACTCCTTCTCAATCTCTTTTTCTTTCTCTCTCTCTTTAACTCACTTCGTGTGTGTGTGTGGGGGGGGGGGGTTGCTTTCTTTTCTTCCTTTCTTGACATCATAACCAAGAATTTTGTCCTTTTTCAATATTTCACAAACAAATGATATCATATCTTTTCTTTCTTTCTCAAGTAAATCTCTCAAGATGAATGGACTAAATATCATACATTTTCACATATTTATTCCTCTATATCAATAATTAACACAAGGAAAAAAAAACGAAAATGCACTAAAATACATTGCCTTTGAATTTCTTTTTTTTTTTCTCTTTTTTTTGTTCTCTCTCTAAATGTTTACTCGTACAATTCGTCATATTTTATTGAAAATTATTAAATTATTTATTTCAGCGTTGAGAAATTAACTCGAAAAACAAAAAAGGCTAATAACGATGCATGTAAAAACGGATAATGAAATGCTTGGATAACGAGAGAGAGAGAGAGAGAGAGAGAGAGAGAGAGAGAGAGAGAGAGAGAGAGAGAGAGAGAGAGAGAGAGAGAGAGAGAGAGAGAGAGAGAGAGAGAGAGAGAGAGAGAGAGAGAGAGAGAGAGAGAGAGAGAGAGAGAGAGAGAGAGAGAGAGAGAGAGAGAGAGAGAGAGAGAGAGAGAGAAAGAGAGAGAGAGAGAGAGAGAGAGATGAAAATAGGGCCCAGTAACGAAGGAAAGAACGAGTCCTTGGCGGCCAAACATCCGCATCCTGGCAGAGTCTGGAGCCAAAGCGAAGGATATCAATAGTCCAGTTAAACAACAGGAGGAGGAGGAGGAGGAGGAGGAGGAGGAGGAGGAGGAGGAGGAGGAGGAGGAGGAGGAGGAGGAGGAGGAGGAGGAGGAGGAGGGGCGGGTCAGTGCAAGAACGCAGAGCCGCATTCAAATGGCTTTTTGTCGGGTTCCCTTCGTATTTCTAATGAGATTAGCATACAGGAGGGTGTGAGTTCATGAGATGACACCATCTTACTGAGTCCCCTTGGCTTTATCACGTTGCACGCGCCAACTCAGCGTGACGTCATAGGCTACACGTGGCTAGCCGGTGTGACGTCACCCGGCTGCACGTGGCGGGAGCTGAAGAGCGAGATGCGCAATCGCTTTGGCGGCCATTTTGGATCGCCGATCTGGATTGCTCATTTTCTCAGCGTCTGTGAGAAGGGGAGAGAGAGAGGGGGGGGGGGGGAGGACGAGAGAAAGAAAAAAAGAAAAAAGAAAAAGAGAGATGAAAAAAAATATATTTGTCCGGTAATCCGAGAAGACAACAAACCAGAACTTTGTCCTAAACACTTCCTGCCTCCGTTGCTCTTTAGATCGCGGTCGTAAATAAACCCATCGAGGGAGCTCTTGAGTTGGGAGTGGATGACCCTGGGAGTTGACGAGGCACTCGAGGTGGGGGGGGGGGAGTCCTCATCCTGCACCCTCCCCCCTCCCCTCCCTCCCCCTATCCCCGCCTATTTTCATTTCCTCTTGTCTTTCCTCTTCATCTACCTCCTTCTTCCTCTCCTTCCACTTCCCTCTTTCTCCTCATCTCCTCCTCCTCCCTTTTCTTCTCTGCTTCTCTTTTCCTCTTGCTTCTTATCTGTCTTCCTCTCCTCTTTTTTCTATTTCATATTTCTATTCTCTCCTCCTTTTACTCTTTCCCACTTTCTTCTTCTCATCTCTCATTCTCTCTTCATTTTCTTCTCCCCATCTTCATTCTCTTTTCATTCTCCTCCTCATTCTCTCTTTCCTTTCCCTCACATTCTCCTATTTCCTTCCCTCCTACCATATCCTTCTATCCTCCTCCCCTCCTCCCTTCCTCCTCCCCTCCTCCTCAACTCCCCCCCCCTCCTCCCCCTTTCCCCCCCATTCTCCTTCCCCCTCTTTCTCCCCTTCTCCCCCCCCCCGCTAATCCCTCAACTACCCACTCGTGCCAACATAACACCGAAGAGGGATTTTCGGAGGATTATCCATGAGAATTAATTACAAAATTGTTTGTTGATTCGGGTATATATGATGTCGGATGGGGGGCGAGGGCGGGGGGGGTACTCTATCAACATGGCAAGGGGGGTCGCGGTCTCCATTTTTTTTTTTTTTTTTTTTTTTTTTAGGAAGAGCAGGTAAACAACGAAGATCGTTTGTCCTAAATCGTTTTTTTTTTTTTTTTTTTAGACAGCAGATATTTTCTTTGTGTTTTTTGAAAAAGAAAACATAAACAAGGGATGCGTTCGTCGTCTCAATTTTCTTTGTTGTTTTTACACTTAGATGAAAAAGGGTATGTTCGTAGTCCTCATTTTCTTTGATGTCTTTGCTCTGACGGAAGGGACAAGTATTAATCCATTGTCTCCATATTGTTTAAAAAATAAAAAAAAGAAAAGAAAAAAGCAAGGGACCTCCGTTTTCTGTTGTTTATGCACTTAGGAAAAAACAATGTGTCATTTGCCTTAACTCCTTTTGTAATGTCTGCCTTTTAGGAAAAAAATAAGAGATAAAATAAGTGTTCCGAGTTTCCAAGTAATATCTATTTATCGCATGTGCCTCTCCCTTCAAAATACTTTTATAATGAAATACATTATTAATTGGGTTTTCCTGCATCAAGGATGAACACTGAAAATTATTAAATCAATTTAACAGCCTGATTGCACCAAAGTTAGTCTACTCGCATACCTTCTGTTTTGTCGCTAATTTGTTGACAAGTATAAGCTCTTAGTGTATTTTCTCTGATGCCAGTTTGCCCTTTGTTCTTCCTGTCGTGGCCCTGTGCCGCGGGTTCCTTTTTTCTCTTTTTCTCTCTGTCTGTCTGCATATTTCTCTTTTTTCTCATTTCTCTTTCTCTTTCTATCTCTCTCTCTCTCTCTCTCTCTCTCTCTCTCTCTCTCTCTCTCTCTCTCTCTCTCTTCTCTCTCTTCTCTCTCTCTCTCTCTCTCTCTCTCTCTCTCTCTCTCTCTCTCCTCTCTCTCTCTCTCTCTCTCTCTCTCTCTCTCTCTCTCTCTCTCTCTCTCTCTCTCTCTCTCTCTCTCTCTCTCATATATATATATATATATATATATATATATATATATATATATATATATATATATATATATATATATATATATTATATATATATATATATATATTATATATATATATATATATATATATATATATATAAATTTCGCTCTATGTCTGTCTGTCTGCCTCG